TTTTTTTATGTTTATAAAAATTGATCAAAGATAGTATAATACAAACACATGACTAGGTAACAAAATGTGGTCGTTAGACAGCCTATGTTATCATAATAGTTAATTATGATATTAAATAGTTAACTATGCAATTTTGTATAAACAGTTTTTTCGGATGTATAGTCAACTATTAAGAAATTAATTTTTAGATAAATAGTTACATATCTGACTTAAATAGTTAACTATTTATCTGAAAAACTGTTTTCTTAATAGTTAACTAAACATCCGAAAACATTGTTTATATAAATAGTTAACTATGCAACTTAAATAGTTAACTATGCAACCAACTCTCTTCCAATGTATAGTTAACTATTAAGAACATAACAATATAGTCTACTATTTTCATAACAATGTGAACGTACAATAATTCATTTATTTATAAACAGTTGACTATATTACAAGAATTTAGAAATAATATATTGTGTGTATGTTTGAATCATTCCTCTCTCTTTCCATAATGTCAGTTTTTTTTAAACTATATTTGTGAGGAAATAGAACAATTAATAAAACAAGGGTAAAATAGTCAACTTTTTTTTTTCTGCTATAAACCTAAATTTAATTCTGCACATATTATTCTTTTAATTATGTACCATAAATATAATATTAACCTAATTAACCCTATCCCAAAAGATGATTAAAAGAATTTTTAACGTTAAATGAAACTAACCCTATTCCATGTTCCCTTTATTTTGGAGACGATGTGTATCTTTTACTCTTCTATAGTTTCCTCTTCATTTACCAATCCTTCTAGATTTCGAACCCCGCGCTATTAAATATATTGATTAATCAATTTTAATATTTAAACGCGTATAACAAAACATATAATTTTTAATATCTATAAACGTACAAAAATGATATGTATTGTGCACAAATGTGATAAAGTTAAATTTTGATCAAACATATTTTGATGTCATTAGTTTTAATATTTTTATGTATAAGAAAACTGATTAAACTATATGTAAATGTTATATATTTTAAGTGTAAAATTGATTTTCATTGCGACAAAAAAAAAATTGGTAAGTCTAATATTATTTTAGTTGGGATTAGATTTGTAAAACATGTATTAATGAGCTTATGTTATAAAATTAATAAGGATGTGTAGAGATTTCCACCATAATATATAATTTTAGTTGAAATATTTTGATTGGTTAATTTAAATGACTTGTCCCTTAAATCGCTCTTTGAACGACACATATGATTTTCTAGTTAGTGTCTCCTCGATTAATATATAGAGGATACGTGTTTTTTTTTTGTATACAGTTTTCATTCATATAAAGTTTATTGTGTTTTTTATTTGATTTTTAGATTGGTTTCGTATGAAACACAATTAGTTGCTTAAATCAAGCACATCAAAATACGTTTGCTGATGAACTTTTTTTTTTCTTCCAACTTGTTGGAAACCATCAAACACAACTCAAGAGGGCCCAAATCGGATCGATTCCATTTCAAATCGTTACCGATTCAGAAGATAAAAAACATGTATAAAAAACACGTTAGTTGTGGGTGTCAAGTCATGACCCATGATCATAATGTTTTATAGGTGTGTTAGATGTTTGATTTATATTGTTTTGGCGTTATCTATTCATGGGTTTAGTAATTTTTATCATTTTCAACAACTTCTCCAACTTATTAAAACTATAGATCG